TATTAATTGCTTGAGGCTAAAGAGATACATTTTCAGTAAGTTAAGGAATCCAGGGTTGGGGATTTAGCTCAGTTGATGGAGTGTTTGCCTTGTATGCCCAAGGCTATGGGTTCAATCCCCAGCACCACAAAAAAAAAAAAAAGGAAAAAAAAAAGAAAAAAAAAAAAAAAAAGAGAGAGAGAGTATACTCTTCCAGGGCTGGGGCTATGGCTCAGTGGCAGAGCACTTGCCTAGCAAGTTTGAGGCACTGGGTTTAATACTCACCAGCACCACATAAAATAAATAAAATAACAATATTCTGTCTATGTACTACAACAAAAAACATTTTTTAAATCCAGATTTACCTTGTGAGTTGGTAGAACTTACTTGGTGGCAAGAAAGTGAGTTTCAGTAATGAAAACTGGCAGGCCAGGATTTGTGCTCCACTCTGTTGGCATATGAAATTACAGCACATCATTCAAACAAAATCAATAATCCAACTTTTATGTCCTTTGCTAGGTACAGTGAAAATTTTATTATTCTGTGATCATTTCATTCTTGCTAGATTAGGTCATGTACTGTAGCAATAAGAAGCAGCTCAAGTAGATAGAATATGCAAGATCAAAACGTGTTTTTACCAACATACCATAATGATCATATAATATTCAAGGAAAGATGCTATAAAAGGCAGACTCTTATTTCCTTAAATCATCCCTTAATATTATGAACAATACTTAAAGGCTCAATTTTCCTAAAGAAAGGAATTTTGCCAATTGATGTAGAATGAGGTTTATAAACAGAAATTCCTAAGTTGAGGCAAACAGAATCGGCAAGAGATAGTTTGTTTCAATGTAAAAATTGTTGTATGTGAACAAGGAGAGAAAAATCAGATCATATTCTTACTCTTTTGATTTACATTCTTCTGCCTCACTCTTTTTCTATGGAGCAAGAGAATTTTTATAGAAAAGACGAATTGTTCTTAGGGAAGGTCTACATAGCCATAAAAGCAAGGTAATAAATTCACTGTAAAGCATCAGCTCTTAAAGTATGTTTGCACAGTAAAGTATGGACCAGTCCAAAATCCAGGCTTAAACATTTTCTCCTTGTTATCACCTCGTTAAGCTCCCCACGTCTGAGCCTTGCCTCCTACAGTCACAGGTATGGTGCCACTAATTAAGAAGAAGGGGCTCATTACCAACTCTCATTAACATCAATTGGAGTTTTAAAGCCGAATCCCTGGACTGAAAATTTACCCCCTTAATGTTCAACACAGGTGAACGAATAAAATCATTTAAATGCCTGTATCATGGGGTAGTGCAAATGTGCTCTCCAAGGATGAACAAATTGCTTATTGCAGTCTGGCACTAATCCTATTGCTCACTAAAAGGCAGGCAGAGCTTTGAAGAAAAATACTATTGGAAAGGGAGATACCAATGGGGAAAGGAAGCAGGAAATGGGGACTAACTGAAAGTCCAAATTCTCTACTGAATATATGTCATGTCCAGTAAGAGTTTTTGGAAAAACAAAATCACAAAAGTGCTTAGCAATGAAATGCTCAATAAATACTATTTGAATTAATAAATGAAGAAATAAATGTTCAGCAGCATGTTTTAACCTGCTAATAAAACTTTTCTCTTAGACTCAGTATTTAAATATGCCCTGAATCTTACCATTTAACCTTCATCTGTACTTACAACATCTTATAGATAGCATTCTACATGATTTTATTGTAGGAACATCTGCCTTACGACACTTAAAAATGCTTAATCCCATAAAAAGTTAACATGTGTTGATTTGGCTACTTTGAGAGAGCTGTTCATGGAAGTATAACCAAATGGAAATAAGCCACCTTAGAAAATGAAAACAACCTTTCCTTGCATCATATAAAATTTTCTCTCCTTTGTAAATATAGAAGCTAATAAGTTTTTGAATTAAGTTTCTACTTTCCTTCAGAAAATTTTCCTTCCTTATGTCAATGTAAGCAAGCAAGGACCCAGAAATATTCATAAGACTCATTTAGCACCTAAATTGTATGTATATTAGACAACTGCTTCTAGTTTTACAGAGTTATATGACAGATTCTTTTATAAATCATCGATATTTTTCCTGATCAGGCATATATGTTCATACTTGAATCACATTAATGATATCTACTATGATTAGCCTTCTTCCAAAAGTGTGATGACTTTGATCTAAATATTTCATGAGTGTCAAAATCCTTCATGATATTGCTGTCAGTGGCAGCAACAAGGCCACTGAACATTTTATCTAGAAAGAGCCTTCAAAGCCATCTAGTTAAACCCCCACATTTTACTTTTAAATTGCAAAAAGTTTGACTTTCCCAAACTAACAAACTCATAGAACCTTACCTAGAATTTTGGTCTTCTGATCCCAAGTCAACCCTAATATTAGTATCAGACACAAGACATATACCTCTACATTCTCTCCTCCATCCTGAGCTTTCTTCTTTCACACTCCAAAGTTGTTTTAAATTTGTAATCAATCAGGGCAAAAGAAACTCTGGAAGAAATATTCTTCTGGATATATGGGAAGATTACTTTTTTACTTAAGATAGGCTTGCCTTAACTTCTCATCTTTTCACCTGCTTGAAGACTGAAAGATAGTGAAAATAGATGTATAAATGCACCGTGGGATGAATAAATCGTGTGAGTTAAAAAAAGAGAAAATGAATATGTTCGTGAAAGAGCAAGCACATCAATCAGTGGTTGCATGGTGTTCGCACCAGTGTGTCCAGGGGACACCTCACCAATCAATCATTCAGGAAGTTCCTTCTAGCTTTCAGGAGAAAAAAATTTGACACGAAGTGCTATAGAGAAAGTCTGGCATTTAAAGAGGTCATTCAAGGCATTCTTTCTAGTTCCCACAGGGGAAAAAAAATAAATGGGGGGGGGGAAATGCCATAGAAAGCAACAATTTAGAAATTTAAAATGCTGATTGCATTATGAATCATTTACATTTCATACAGATTTGAAAGCATTAACTAATATCATTTGTACATCCCACTCTTACCTGAGCATGAAAAATTGATATTTGTATACAGCTTTTGCCTTCAAGGAGCTTAAAAGCTAAAAGTGTTTATTCTTCAAAGCTTTCACCACTATTCTGAATTATAATCCAATCCTGTTATTTTTCTCGAGCATTAAACACTCAAACATTTACTGAAAATATTTTAGTTTTATGAATCATCCATCAAATAATTATTGGTCTCTTACAAAGTTCTACATTATTAGCTGCTGCCTTGAAGTAGCTTACACATTGGTAAGACAAATAAAAATAGTTTATAAATAATTGTGATGCAAACTAGAAAGGAGTTGGATGACAGAGTTGAATAGACAACCTTGTCTTTTCCCAGATTTCCAAGGAGATAAAGCAAACCACGGATATATGAAGAGGTTTGTCCAAATAATCTCATTACTGAGTGACAGATCTGGGAATTGGCTCCCCAAGGAGCTCAATTCTCAGTAGAATTGGCTCTTGAAGGTGGTGTACCATTTGCATAGCTAATTAAAGCAGGAAGCATATTGAAATGTCGTAATAAAATGTTGCCCAGTAGTGAAGAAAGGCAACCACTGCTGGTAAAGTGATTTTGTAAGAAAGAAGTAATTCTTGCCGTGCAGTCCCAACAGCAAGACTTTACTGCTTAATGGTCACTCTTTGTCTGCTGGGTTTTCAAATCAAGAAATGGGGAGAAACTTTATGTAAGGATTATCATCAAACAATTCCAAAGTATATTCATTCCAACCCCACAATCCAGCATAATCGTGATGTACAATATGACATTTACAGCAACAAAGATAGGATGAGGTGTTTAGTACTGAAGTTGGAATCATGAACTTGGGAATTGAGCAGATAAGGTTTGATTGAATTCTGCCTGTGCTATTAGCTACATGACCAAAGATTTCTCTTTCTTATCTTTATAAAATTAATATCACAGTAAAAACAAGGTGGTGATTGTTGCTTTTCTTCACTTTACTCCTTTATGACTATTGAAAAAGAACAACCATTTCTTTAAAACACTGAGCTCTCACCATCCTTCGTCTTATGTTACAGTTCACTATAGTTACCCCATCTGGCTTGCAAACTAGTTTGGAGGCTGAATCTCTTAAATTCTCTTAAGAGGCACTTGAGAAATGAATATTGGTTTGAATTTTATAGATTATGACAAAGAAGTCAAAAAGATCTAAGGCCAGTCTATAAATTGTTACCATTCATCTGGTTTGATTCGTATCACTATGGATCAAGATTAACATTCAGAACATAAGTAATTTTCTAATCTCATGAATTTTCTATCACTATGAACAATAACAATAATAACTTTTGTTTATTAAGAGCTAACTAAAACTTTTCTATGTATTAACTCACATAGCTAGCTCCTATCACCATCCCATTATTTTGTCCTTCAGTATTTATGGAGATTGGTTCCACGACCCCTCATGGATAGCCAAGTCCCTGAGATAAAAATGGTGCACAGTATTTGCATATAATCCTTGCACATCCTCCAAATACTTTATATATCATCACATTGCTTATAAAACCCAATATAATGTAAATGTGATATAAATAGTCATTAAACTGTATTGTTTAGAGGATAATGCCAAGAAGTATCAGTACATGTTCAGTATAGACAATTTTTCTTCTAATATTTCAATCCATGGTTAGTTGAATCTCTGGATACAGACCCACAGATAGAGGTGAATACATAGCATTAAAATGATACTTAGAGGGATGTTAACTAGATGGCCTAAGTTCACATAGCTCCTAAGTGTGAAATGACTGGATATTAACTCAAGTCTAACCTGAAAGGCCCATATTTTTTCTTATTATTTGTATTATATTTGAAACATTGCAAATCTTATGTTGAACACTTTCATAATCGTATTTTACTGGAAATACAATATCCAATAGTGAAATTCAGAGGTGATAAAAAGGTTACTGCTAACAAGTAGGATATTTTAAAATTTCACTAAGATTTTTTTAACCACTTGGCTATTTCTTTTTAGAATACTCAGGACCAGTTCCCTCAACAAATGATCAGAAGAAGTAATATGGGTAAGCCACTTAATATCTAACCTTCAATGTTTTCTACTGACCTACAAGTAGTGTTTATTAACATAATACATAAAGAGTGTCACAGAAAGTAGTAAGTAATTGTACCAATCTTAAGGATACTGAGTAACTAAACATCTTCCAGAGTACATTATAAATTAAAGCAACTACTACTGATTTTCAAAACTCATCAAATTACACTAGCTTATAAGTCTACTGAAAGGACAACAAAGTCATGGATAACCACTGTAATAGACACAAATAGCAGATACCTGATTATCTACAGTACATTTTCTAATATGTGATCACAATGTGGCAAATTCCTTTAAGAGATTCCATAGCCCATATTTTTTAACGATCCAAAATATATTCAAAATATATTTCACCAAAATCTAATTTGAAGCTTTTTAATTTTGACCATTTATAATGACCCAGAATTCAAATTTGTAAAATCATTTCTTTTCCATTAATAGTGGAATGCTAACTTAATATGTTACATCTCATATTGTGCCTATATTGAGACTGAGAACATAATTTAAAGCCAGAAACCTGTGTAGTTCTATATAAATAGTAGATTAGAAAGCACTCAGTTATTTAATTCCATTTTATAGCACATTAAATTAAGCATATGTGGTGGTGTTATTTTAGTATATTAATAGTCACAGTTTTTTTCAGGGAGATTCTTTTCTAACTAAGAAAATATACTACAAACTAAACTTTGAAGTCACAATCAGTAGTTTCTAAGTTGAATATTCTGCAATGGAAGTATATTTTCCTATGACCCAGATAGCAAATTTACTACAGTGTATACAGCATATTGTAATAAAAATAATTTCAAAAGCAGATACCTTGGTACATAGGAATTCAAGTATTTGAGAAATGATTCTCCATTTTAAAAAGTTAAAATCTGGACAGCTATAACTTTTAATGATTTTGAAGTTTTAAACCATTGAGGAGGATCAGTCTTAGAATCAGGCTCTGAAATGAAGTGTTGTATGAAAATGTTTATGAGGGCTACTCAGGGCAGGAAAAGAAAGGTGCAATCTAGAGCAATCTAGAGTAAAATTTGTCTCAGCCAAGGCAAGAGAACTGGGGTTTTCTACCCCTGGAATAGAAAGTGACTGGGAAACTCCCAGGTTTTCTGTTACCTGTGGGCCAAGTGGTCCCAGTAACCCCAAGGGATGTATTTCTCACATTAAAGGGAGTTGCAAGCAAGCACAGAAATGGTAAAAGTGTTACTGGATAGACCACTGACATTGTCTGTTACGAACTGTCTTCTAAATATCAGAGATGGAAGTAGAGGCTGACATAAAATTTAGGATTTTCTTGATATCAGTTAAGAATATTTTGACTCCAGGATACAGAAATTGAATAGCTCTTTCTTCAGATGTAGCTTGATATAGTGTTCATACAACACCATCAGGTTCCATCTCTTAGCTCTACGTCCCTTGGATTTACTTCTTCCCGATCGGACTTCCCCAAAACTCCCATCTCTTTCAGTGCCACACCAATTCCAGGCTTTATATGTTCATACCACAAGGCACAGGTACAAAAGAGGGAATTCAAATCCTAGCTGTCCCAACAAAAATACTGAATTATTTCCACTGATACAGTCTAGGTCTCATGCCCAATCCTATTCCAGTTAATAAGGTCAGAGAAATGTAGTGTGTTCACTGGCTTAAGACTGTTACATGTCTGTTACTAAAACTGGCTTAAGTCCATGAGTGAATCAATATTATTCATAGGTCATGATTTAGACATTCAAGATAATAGTAGAAAGTAGGAAGAAAGTATATACCAGGAGAAATTAGCAAATAGCCTTTAATGTTTTATTTTTATTATAAATTTATGTTAACTATATTCTGAACCTAATTAATTTCAGGCTGTAGACGTGCAAATATTTGAGCCAAGTTGCAAACCCATTTGGGATTAGCAGAATTAGTTTCAATGGAAAGAGGTAAAAGGAATTCCTGGAACTGAGGCCATGGTACATAAAGCACAGGTTATACCACCACCACCACCACCACCACCACTACTGTCACCTCATCACCCAACCCCTGCAAATAAATAAAAAAATTTTGCTAAGATATTCTTTTGGTTCAGAGGTTTGTTATTAGACATGGCTTTTTATTAACTGGATGTTTCAGGAATGTCCTATAAGCCCAACTAGGACTAGCCATGGAGTCAGGTTTAGATCTTGAGGCCTATGACTGTATCCTAACCATTCTTTCCTTTGTTCCATTAATAAATATCAAGTTCTTATTATGTACCAGACACTCTTCTATGAAAGAGAAGTACATGGTGAACAAAATATAGTGGGTGCCTGCTGCCCCAATTGGAGGGTCATACACAATAACAAAGAGGCAAACAAATGAGCTATCTTTAGCAAGTAGTACATGCTAGGAAGAAAATAAAACAGGATGAACATGAAGTTGGGGAAGTGGAACATCTATCTGAAGAGTGATGTTTGCACGGTCATTTGATTGATAAGAAGCTAGACATGCAAAGTTCTCAGGCATTGAAGGCAGTGGGAATATCAAGGCCAAGGGCAAAAAGGAATAAGAAACGCCAATTGGAGCACAGAGGGAAAAGGTGGTGGTTACAGTGTGGTGAGTAATGAGAAGAGAGGTGGGTACAGTGAGAAGGGGCACAGGATCAGGCTCAGGCAGAGCCATCTGTGTGTCTCTTTGAGGCAAGTTACTGTTCAGCTGGAGTTGAACTTCTAATTCCTACAGTCTTCATTTTCCAGCTCTGTTCTTGGACTGAAGCCACTAAGCACCCCACAAACCCTTGACAAAGTCAAGTTTTTGTGTGTTTTTTTTGTTTGTTTACACAACATTAATTTCTTTTTATAGAGTTGGGATCAGAATATCTTTACTTTTTCTTACTATTTAAATATATTTGTTCCACATGCTTATACAGTTAATGATTTTTTAAAATTATTTTAACACCAAAAATAAACTATTTTACATCTCCACCCATGCTGATAAAATACCATGGGCACTTTTTCATGTCTTTTCCCTTTGTGATTCCATATAATGTTTTTGCATTATATTATGTAATACTTCTGTATAATTTTTGCTGGTGAATGTATAATTATTTATTTCAATAATTGTTTATTGATAGCTATCCAGGTTATTTACAGTTCTTCACTATTGCAAACATTCCTTCAGTTAAACATTCTTATACAAATGTCTTTACATTCTTATTCAGCTGTTTATATAGGAGAAATTCTCCCTTAAAGGAGTTGCTGAGTCAAAGTATGAGAGTTAGGATAAATATTGCTAGACTGCCTATGAAAATGTTGTACCATACTCCTCCCACACTTGGCCAATTCTGGAACCTGTCAATCTTTTTTATCTTTGCAAATCTGATAGAGGAAAAATACCACAGAAGTTCTTATTTTAGTCATCTAGACTTGGATTATTCTCCTTCATCCTTGAATATTTTTACTTCAGGTTCTTTATCAGTACCTGATAATTACAATATCCTCCCAAGGTAAACAATGTAGTCTTTCCAATACCTGACCTAACTGTTCTCCATCCACAGACACTAAATCTCATGTTCATACATCGACCTTTGTTTGCCAATAACAGCAAAACCTCCATAATCTCATTTATCTCTTTCTCTGACTGCCAACTACTATCTTTCCATTCCCTGTAGTACTCTCATTACAGTGGGGCCAATAATCACTAATCCTTGCATCTCCTAATGATTCTACACCCTTTCTTATCCCCTCTTCCTTTCCCTGGGTCTCATGGTATATAAATTATGATCACTCCATGCATTTTCCTCATCTTCCTTTCCTTCTCTTCCTTCCTGTATTACAATCATTCAACAAAACCCCAACCCCAGTTATAACCAATTCACTCTTCACTGGCATCCAGATAATTAAACATGGCAAATGCATGTGGGGTGCATACAAACACACTCTCACACACACAAACACACACAAAGGCAGGCAAAAAAAATGCATTCATACTGACTATTCTCACTGTGAATTTTTGAGGATTTGTCTTAACCGTACACTTTGTACTAAACTAGCAATCTTACTACATTCCCAAATCCCTTCTCTCTCTGACATTCCTTAGTGACTCGTTCAGTTTCTCCTTTTCTTCCAAATATTCAACATTTCCTCCTTTCTGGTGATGACTTTAATTCAGTGAGATAATAGAAGCAATCAGAGGGAAACTTTTACACTCTCCCTTCCACGTTTAACATTCTATCTACCTTCCTCCTGTGACTGCAACTCTGCACATACCTGAGACCAATTTTCAGGCAAGGGAATTTGAAGTCATAAATAGGGATAGTGACTACAAAGCAAGTTAATCTTTGCCAAGCAAGGTATAGAGTGCCAGATGTGCTATTCAAAATTATTTCTATGTTAGCATTAAAGTAAACATAATCTAATGATTCACATCATTATGGAAATAGGTGGGACCCCACAAATCATTCAGTCTGTTCTCTCATTTTATAAGAACCACAAGAAGTAAAATAACTTTCCCAAGGATATAAACCTTCTTCTTTAAAATAATTGGCTGTTACAGGAAAAATAGCAGGCAACGTAAGAGTAGCTTCATTTTTTTTTGTAGCACTTACCAAAATTATCAAAAAAAGTAAAAACAAAAAGGTGTGACCAATGCTATACCTCGAGAAGGATCAAAAGGCATTATCTAAATAAACAACTTTAAACCAGATTGAAATAAAGTGGTGACAATCTACACAGAATTCCTCTTTTAGAAAGTAATTTAATGTGAAGAATACGGTTTCTATGTTTTTTAAAAGTGTTTTAAAAACTCATGGATATTGTCCTAATGGTATTTCAATTTGGAGATGTAGAAATTAGGGGTAAAAATAGGGCAGAGAAAAATATGCTCATTTTTTATATAACTCTCTTTCCCTTATTATTTCAATACAGTAACCTGAAGCCTAGTTTGAAGAGCCACCAAGTTCAGTCATTTCTATTCTAGGTCCAATAGAGGTAAAAAAGAGAAAGGAAATAA